AACTGTCCTGGAGGCACTGGGTACTCAGCCCTATGGTCAAACATTGCTGTGGGTGTGTCTGGAGGGTGTTTTGAATGAGATTAACATTTGAATTGGTAGATTGAGTAAAACAAATTGCCCCCTAACGTGGGTGGGCCTCTTTCAAACAGTTGAAGACCTGAAGAAAACAAAAAAAAACGGACCCTCCTATGAATAAGAAGAAACTCCTCCTGCCCAACTGCGTGATTGAGTGAGGACAGTGATCTTGAACTGAAACATTGGCTTTCCTTGGGTGTGAAGCCTGCCGGCTTTCAGACGAGAACCTTCACCATTGGCCCTCTTGAGTCTCCAGCTTGCTGACTGAAGGTCTTGGGACTTCTCAGCCTCCATAATAACTCCAGACAATTCTTTCTGATAAATCTGCCTCTATCTACCTATAATCCATCTGTCTGTCTGTCCATCCATCCATCCATCCACCCTATTGGCCCTGTCTCCAGAGAACCCTGACTACTACACAAAAAAATGCCAGATCTTGCCAGCAAACCACGAGGAGCTAGAGAGGCCTGGAACAAACTCTCCCTCACAGCCCTCTGAAGGGGTAGCACTAACCACACGTGATTTCTGACTTCTAATCTCCAGAACTGATAGACAATACATTTCTGATGCTTAATCCACTGAATTTGTGGCAAACTAATAAAACTTCTGGCATGATAAATCGCAGAAGAGAATAGAAAAAGCAGCGTGCGGGTGCCTGGGTGGCTCAGTTGGTTAAGCGATTGCCTTTAGCTCAGGTCATGATCTCAGGATCTTGGGATTGAGCCCCATGTAGGGCTCCCCCTGCTCTGCAGGGAGCCTATTTCTCCCTCTCCTGCCTGCCACTCCCCCTGCTTGTGCTCTCTCTCTCACTCTCCACCCAGTAAATAAATAAAGCCTTTAAAAAAAAAGGAAAAGAAAAAGCAGAATGCTAGGTCCCCCTTTTAATTAAAACAATGACTTTTCCAGTTGCAAATGGAGGGGTAACAACAGCCCATAGGTTAAGGCACTGTTCTCTTCCTTCCACGTCTCCCCCTGTCTTTGAGAGGCTTTTCTTTGGGTTTTTTTTTTTTTCCTTTACTATCCTATTTCCTTGTACCAGCCCTCTTTTTTTTCTGTTTTTCAGCACTCTCCATTTCTGATTCCTGATTTTCTAATGTGGTTTCATTTAAGCAGGGGCTTTATTTCTTCCACTTCTTACATGAACTTTGCTAGCTCATGGTTAACTGTTTATTTCCTTCTTTATTTAATCATTTCTTCTTTAATTTCATTTTTCCCCATGATTTAAAATTTCTTAGTGCTATTAAAAAAGAGTATGTCTAACTTTCTCATACACTACCTGGGAGTAATTCTTTTTCCTAGAATTATACTTTCTCTGCCTTTTGTATTTTGTTGTTGTGTTACCTTGTTCTCCTTCTTATTTCTTTTGTTTCTTACTTTTGTTTTCCTAACAGCATCAACCCACCATCTCCTTTATTTACACTTCTGCTTATTACCTGATTTGAATCACAGCAGCCTTAATTCAGCCAGATGTTGCTTAATAACAGATCAGCAACAAAGGGGAGGGGAGGGGTGTGGAGTATGAACAAAGGGAAGGTCACTGGTAGCTAAAAGGGTAGTTCTTAAGTGGTTCCCATCTCTAATTTTATCCCCTTTTGTTGGAGCTAGAACCTATTGGGCTCCCTGACTACCTTTCTACCTGTCGGTCTGCAGAACTTCATCTCTCCTTTTGTTCAGTTTTTTTGTGTGTGTGTGTTTTTTACAAAGTTTATATATTTATTTAAGTAATCTTTACACCTAACGTGGGGCTCAAACTCACAATCCTGAGATCAAGAGTGGCATGCTCCCCTGACTGAGCCAGCCGGGCACCCCCTTCTTTTAATAAGATCTGCACATTATATAATATCTGAAAAGACTAGTCAGAGATCTGCATTCTTCCTTTAAATGTGGTTCATGGCTGATTCTATTCCTATTATTGTAAATGGAATTTTATCCCCAATATTTTAATTTTTGGTTCACAGCTATCACTATGCATTTCTAATGTCTATTCTACAAAAAGCCACTTGGAGGGGGCACCTGGGTGGCTCAGTGGGTTAAGCCTCTGCCTTCAACTCAGGTCATGATCTCAGGGTCCTGGGATCGAGCCCCACATTGGGCTCTCTGATCAGCGGGGAGCCTGCTTCCCCCTCTCTCTTCCTGCCTCTCTGCCTACTTGTGACCTCTCTCTCTCTCTCTGTGTCAAATAAATAAATAAAATCTTCAAAAAAAAAGGCCACTTGGAATCAAGTTGAGTAGACTAAAAATATCTGTTGCAGTCCCATGGAGAAACAAAGTATACAGTTCTAGGCAACAGGACTGAGGGCTTCTGTCCCAGTGTTTGAGCAAGAGACTGGGGAAAGCTCCAAGTCACTATGCCCTACTTATGGCTCAGCATTTTATGTATAACATGAAGTGTTTAGAGGAAATACAGTCTAAGCTTTCAAGAGTTCTAAAATGTTATGACAGTAAACGTGACTTCATGATTTCATGAATCATAATTGAATTATTTCAGGGAAAAGAGACACATTTTTGAAAGGTTTCTGTAACTGTGTGATGTCTGGGAAAATGAGCAGGCAAAAGTATTTTGCCTATGTTTGTTTGTTTGATGGATGGATGGACAGCCTCACACTGACCTGTGCTCCACTCCCTAGAGAAAAGCATGTCTAAAAGAACAAAGTGATTTAATGGCTATTTTGCCTTCAGAGAGAAGTTATAGTCTTAGAGACTGTACTTGATGCTAATAGAACCTTTTTTATTTTTTATTTTTATTTTTTTAAAGATTTTATTTATATATTTGTTGGAAGGAGAGAGAGAGAGCACAAGCAGGGAGAGCAGCAGGCAGAGGAAGAAACAGGTCCCCAGCAGAGCAAGGAACCTGATGTGGGACTTGATCCAAGGAGCCTGGGACTATGACCTGGGCGGAAGGCAGATGCTCAACTGACTGAGCCACCCAGATGTTCCTAGAACTTTTTTTTTTAAAAGATTTTATTTATTTATTTGACACAGAGAGAGAAATCACAAGTAGGCAGAGCAGCAGGCGGGGGTGGGGGGTGGGGGGGGTGGGGGGGGGAAGCAGGCTCCCCGCTGGGCAGAGAGCCTGATGTGGGGCTCAATCCCAGAACCCTGAGATCATGACCTGAGCTAAAGGCAGAGGCTTAACCCACTGAGCCACCCAGGCTCCACACTAATAGAACTTTTAAAAAAATATTTATTTGTCAGAGAAAGAGAGAGAGAGAGAGAGAGCACAAGCAAGAGGAACAGCAGGGAGAGGAAGAAGCAAGCTCCCATGGGACAGGGAGCCGCTGATGGGGCTCCAGCCCAAGATGCTGGGATCAAGACGAAGCTGAAGTCAGACCAGTTGGAAGTTAACTAACTGAGCCACCCATGGACCCCTGAACTTTTGTTCCTAGACACATGTATTTCTTTTTCAAAAAAAATATTGATTGGGGCGCCCTGGTGGCTCAGTCATTAAGCGGCTGCCTTCAGCTCAGGTCATGATCCCAGGGTCCTAGGATCGAGCCCCGCTTCAGGCTCCTTGCTCAGTGGGAAGCCTGCGTCTATCTCTCCCACTCCCCGTACTTGTGTTCCCTCTCTCCCTGTGTCTCTCTCTATCAAAGAAATAAATAAAATCTTTTTTAAAAAAGTATTGATTGACTGAGAGAACTCCCCAGCACGTGGCGGGTGGGGGAAGCGGCAAGGGAGAGGGGAATCTTAAGCCCACGGTGTGCCCAGTGCTAAGCCCAAACGGAGCTTGATCTCAAAACCCGGAGATCTTGGCCCAAGGTGAAACCAAAAGTCAGAAGCTTACCCAGGCTGAGCCACCCAGGCGCCCCCAGATGTATGTTTTCCTTAGAAAGATTCCTTACAATTAAAATGTATACGTAGGGGCGCCTGGGTGGCTCAGTGGGTTAAAGCCTCTGCCTTCGGCTCAGGTCATGATCCCGGGGTCTTGGGATCGAGCCCCGCATCGGGCTCCCTGCTCAGCAGGGAGCCTGCTACCCTTCCTCTCTCTCTGCCTGCCTCTCTGCCTACTTGTGATCTCTCTCTGTCAAATAAATAAAAATCTTTATTAAACAAAATGTAGGGACGCCTGGGTGGCTCAGTTGGTTGGACGACTGCCTTTGGCTCGGATCCCGGACTCCCGGGATGGAGTCCCGCATTGGGCTCCCTGCTCCACGGGGAGTCTGCTTCTCTCTCTGACCTTCTCCTCTCTCATGTTCTCTCTCACTGTCTCTCTCTCAAATAACTAAATAAAATCTTTAAAAAAAAACCAAACAAACCGTATATGTAACGCACCATCGGCGTGTCCATTTATCCTTCCGCTAATTGGGTTCAGGTGGCCCTCAGAGCACAGACCCCTTTACACACATGAGGGAGCCTCTTCCTCCCCTTTCCTTAAAGCTGGCTCAGACTTGGGGGAGAGAGAAGGAGAGGCGGGCAGCCAACTGGAAGTCGAGAGAGGTGGCCCACCCCTTCCTCGTTGCATTTTCACTTCTTGTTCCTGCTCCTTTCCTCACTCCAGGAAGACGGAGGAAGGCTGGGCATTGTGTCCGCTTTTCCAGAGCCTTTGGGAGTGAAGGAGCCTCTTCCCTGGACCTTCGGTGCTGGTTTTCCAGGGATGCTGTCAGGCCCCATGGGAAGGATTCCTCTGAGAAGAGGGTGTGGGCCTCTAGACAAACCAGAAGGCAGAAGGCTCTTAAGGAGGGTGGGTGTGGACGTGGCCAGTGCTGTGCCGGGAGCGCCCAGGATCGACCTCTGGGGCCAATTTCCTTTTCCTTTCCCTCTTTCTGTCTCCCTTTCCTCTCTGTCTCTGCCAGCCGCTGCCCTATTGAATGTCTTATTTGTGCTTCTGACTTCCGGAGACACAAATGGAGCCCTGCACATGGACATTGAAATTGCCCCCCCCCCCCCCCCCCGCGTAACTTTGTGGTGGGGGGACGTCCTTCCAGGACGATCCATGATCCATCGATAGGCACTTGGTGGAGGCTCCGTACCGAGGCCTCTCCAACCTCCAACGTCCCACCCCCACCTCCGTCCCACCGCCTCTGCCCCATGAACACGGCCCTCAGCTGTTTTGCGGTCGGAGGTGCCACCGCGTGTGTTGCTGCCTGGGACCGGCCTCTGCCCAGGGTCAGGCGCCCCAGGGAGATGAGCCGTAGGCGGTGCCAGCTGCTCTGGGGCTTCTCGAGTGCCACCCGCTGCTCCGGGTCGGGGAACTGTGCGCACAGTTGTGCGCCGACGCCGCCTGGCACCAAAAGGTCCATGGCCACGGCCCTCCGCGCCGCGCTTCCCGTCGCTCAAGGTGGCGGCTGTGGGACTCATCCCAAGCGGCCCGGCCTGTCGCGCCTCCCTTTGCTGCGAGCCGCGCCGCAGCGGGTGCGCGAAGCCGCCCCTCCCGCGACCCCGGAGGCCAAGTCAGATGGCGGCGGCACAGGGGACAGGCCCGGGGAGGTGGCTGGATGTGAAGGGCTGCAGCGGTTGCGCTTAACCACCGGCCGGAGGGACAGGGAGTAGCGGGCGCCCCGAGGTGCGGGCAGGCGCGTGTGGGGGTGGCGGAGGACGGCAGGCGGCACAGGGACTGGAATCGTCCCCCGCTTCCCGGGACAGGTGAGCCCGCTGCGCTGCTCCCACGGCTCCGCCCTCGCTCGGGTGCCCTGGTCGTCGCCCCTCCCATCCCCCCGGGGGCCGGCCGCGTCCCCACGGCGCACGACCGCCCGCTTCTGAACACCCACGTCCTCACTCAGCCCCGCACATTCTCCGCTGCCAGCTGCCGCCCACCAGGCTTTACCCCACCCCGCCGAGGGGCGCCCCGGGGGACAGCGAGAAGAGCCCTTTCCTTCAGGAGGCCCTGAAGGTGTGACGTTCCCGTATTAAAATGTCGTGTGCTCTGATTTTTTTTTTTTTTTTTTTAGATTTTATTTATTTTATTTTACAGAGAGAGGTCGCAAGCAGGCAGGGAGGCAGGAAGAGAAAGAGGGGGAAGCAGGCTCCCCTCTGAGCAGAAATCCCAACGCGGGACTCGATCCCAAGACTCTGAGATCATGACCTGAGCTGAAGGCCGCGGCTCAACCCACTGAGCCACCCAGGCGCCCCTGATTTTTTTAATATGAAATAAAACCAACAAAGGCACAATGCTATAGTGTCTAAAATGATATTCCCATGAGCGGCAGAATAACAAAATCAAAACCAGTACCCTAAACTTCCCACCCCGCTCGTGGCCCGTTCTTCAACAATGTCTTTCACCAGGATAGCAACTAGGTTTCCCAGGGGGACACAGCCGGGCCTAGGGACAGGAGTCTCGGTTCCGGAGGGTGATGCAGAAGCATCACCGTTCCCTGGCTCTTGTTTCAGGTTAAAGATGGACGAGATGGGACCTGCTGTGGGATCTCACCACCTCCCAGGCTGGGAGAGCCCCTGCATTCCGCGTTACCAGGCATGGAATCCCCAGCGTAACTAAGCGTAACTAAGCGTAACTAAGAGTAACTAAGCGAAAAACGCCCTTTGAGCAATAAAAGCATATCAAACCGAAAGGGGTGAAAACAGTTTTTATTGTAGTAGCTGAAATAAGGGAGGTGGATGTCAGATTAAATCAATTTTTTTTTTTTTGGTTTTGGTTTTGCACTTTCAAAAATTGTGGGTAGGCATAAGCAGGTTAAGACCCCTGTTTTTTGTTTCTTTTAGCAAGGGCCAGCCACCTCCCCCCGGGTGGCTCAGGTCAGCATCCACAGCCATGTGGACAGATCCACATCGCTCCTGTGCCTGCCCACCTGCCTTTCCAGCAGGAAGTGCAGCACATTTTTGGTTGGCATGTTGTGTCTTGAGCGGCGGCCACTCGTCTTCTTCTCATCACTGGGTGTGGATGTGCTGGGCTGGACTTCAGACTTTTCTTTCTCCATGACTGGTTGACACCGCAGATGCCTTCACGAAAGGAACCCAATGGAGAAAGCCTGAAAAGGGATGAGGAAGGAATTACAAAGCCCCGGATCTAGAGCCCATGCTCCTCCCCACTTCCCTACAGTCCCGACTCCGTGCCAGTTTGAACAAATGGTAGTCCTGTAACCTCCCCCTTCTACCCAGTAGGGCTGGGATTCATCGCGTGGGTTAGTGTGGCAACAGCCCCAAACCATATTACAAATGGATGGCTTACCTCACAGACCACCACTGATGTTTCTGTAGACGACGGTCAGAGACGACGGTCCGTCCAGAAGAGAGGTCGAGAGAGGAGTGAGAGGAAAAATTCTTCTCTCCTTGTCTTCTTCTTCTTCCTTGAGGTCCCATTGGCTAAGCCCCAGAGGTGTCGTGGTGACTCACAATGGCTCTCAGAACCTGAGGCCACATGCAAGATCTGAACACTGGCGGTTATCACCTGGGTTACTTCTGGTTCAGGGCTGAAAACAGTAAGTGGATGAGGGGTGCCAGAGGAGAGACAGTTATTATCCTCATTCATGTGACACTTGAAGCAGTTGAGGTCAATGAATGTCACGTCACACATTCCTTTTTTTTGAGAGGCAGGGAAGACCCACTCACCCCTTCCCTCACTTTCCTCCCACCCCCTGTAGAATCATGTCAAGACACTCAGATATGGTGTTCAGGGTCTAAAAGACATCACAAAGGGATAAAAACTATTATTAGTGCATTATATTACTATTATTATTAGTGCATTATATTACCAAAAGAAGCAAAACTGCCTTTCTCTAAAGGAATTTCCTTCTTAGAAAAACCAAAGCCGGGGCGCCTGGGTGGCTCAGTGGGTTAAGGCTCTGCCTTCGGCTCAGGTCATGATCTCAGGGTCCTGGGATCGAGCCCCGCATCGGGCTCTCTGCTCAGCGGGAAGCCTGCTTCCTCCTCTCTCTCTCTCTGCCTGCCTCTCTGCCTGCTTGTGATCACTCTCTCTCTGTCAAATAAATAAAATCTTTAAAAAAAAAAAAAGAAAAACCAAAGCCATCACCCAGGAAGTAGATCAGGAAAGGTCAGTTGATACAAGTTAAACACATAATAAGTACATTTTGCATACACTTCTTCTAAGAAATAAAATAGAAATAAAATGTCTGATTCTCATTAGTCACAAGCATTGTGAAACACCTACAAATATAATTCTTTGAAAGAAACCTATGGAAAATATACCTGAACCTTTTATGTACTTCCTGTTTGGACACTAAAATAATATCTTAAATTATTTTTTTGGGCAGGGGAAGGAAGACTAATCTTTGAAATGATATAAATTCTCCTCTAAATCTATGACTTCAGTGCAATTCCAGTCAGAAACCACAACACAGTTTTAAGTGTGTATTTGGAACTAGGTGACTGGGTTATACAATTATCTTGAAGAGAAAATATGAGGGATTATCCTAATAGCTATTAAATATCTATTATCTATCTGTTATCATCTTATCTATTAAAACATACTCTATAGGATTAGCGATAGAAACAGGAATTAATAAACATGTCCATGGAACAAAATAGAGATTCTAGAAGTATCTTCATTATATCTGTGGGGTTCAAATAAATGATAAAGCTGGCATTTCATGGCAGATACCACCTCAAGGCAGTATCTTATGACTAAGTCTGTGTGTGTGTGTGTGTTAGGTGTGTGTGTACACACGCACACGCATGTGCAAGTAGATGGAAGTTCAGAGGGACTTCCTATAACTAATTCTAGATCCTATCGACTTTCACAGGTTTTTTCCAGTTGTGCTTCTTCCTGGAGCCATCTGCAGTGTCAGCCAGGTATGGAGGAAGGACATTCTGAAGTGGGTCCCGGCACACCCACGCCGAGCATCAGGAAGAAGGCAGACGAGTACCTAAAACCCACGGCCTCTCAAAATGTGCTGAGCTTTTTGCTGGGGAGGCAGCTGGGGAGGCACAGAAATGACGAGAATCTGAGGGAATGGCTGTGGACGCTGACACAGAAAACACCGGGGTGGAGGTGGCCTTTGCCAAAAAGCCACGTGACCTACTCACCCACGATCCTTGGGGATTATGAAAAATCCAAAAAAATGATGTGGATCAACAAATCCTTCCCCTGAGGGCACCATTAAAACTGAAGTTACGTGGTCCCTTCTTGTGGTTTGAGGTGTGATTTGTTGGCGTGCTCACTGTCCTTGTGACTCCTGGTCGTGCTACCCAGTGACGGCAAACAGGGCAAGGCTGGCAGTTTCCCCTTAGAGGAGGTTTACTGACATGGCAGCGTCTGGGGGTTTGGAATTGAGAGGGGCCCTCTTGGGAGAGGATGGAAAAACTGTGGAGTTTCTAAGTGGAAAATGCCTTACACCTCACATTTACTGAGGGGATGGGTCTTCAAGGAGGCCGCTGGGATGCCTCCATTGGTCTCCCTCCAAGCTTGAGGGAGACAGTGGGAACAAGTCAGAATCACAAATACATTTTTTAATTTTTTTTTAAGATTTTATTTATTTATTTGATAGACAAAGATCACAAGTAGGCAGAGAGGCAGGCAGGGAGAGAGGAGGAAGTAGGCTCCCCGCTGAGCAGAGAGCCCAAAGCGGGCCCGATCCCAGGACTCTGGGATCATGACCCGAGCTGAAGGCAGAGGTTTTAACCCACTGAGCCACCCAGGAGCCCCTCACAAATACATTTTAAAAGGGAGTGACTGGGGCACTTGGGTGGCTCAGTCAGTTAAGCGTCTGCCTTCAGCACCGGTTATGGTCTCCAGTGTCCTGGGATCTGAGTCCCGCATCGGGCTCCCTGCTCTGCGGGGAGCCTGCTTCTCCTTCTGCCTCGGCCTCTCTCTCTGTCTCTTGTGAGTGAATAAATAAAATCTTTAAAAGAATAAAAAATAAATAAAAGGGAGTGACTGTGGGGTTCATGGGTGGCTCAGGGTTGTGATCCTAGGGTCCTGGGATAGAGCCCCACTGTGGGCTCCCTGTTCAGCAGAGGGCCTGATTCTCCCCCTCTCTCTGCTCCTCCCCCTGCTTGTGCTCTCTCTGGCTATCTCTCTGAAATAAATTAATAAAATCTTTAAAAAAAAGTGGGGGAGTGACTGGGAGGGTTGGGGACAGCTCTCCACATGGAGGTCATATATCAGGGAAAGCGGGGTATGGAGACCCAGAGACGAGGTCTCCAAATTGCCTTGAAAGACCCCACCAAAGAAGAAAAAGTCAGATTTAAACAGCTGCTAAAATCCATCCAGATAAAGGAGACCTGTCATGACCCTGACCTCTTGTTCCTTCCCATACTGAACAGACCCTCCGGGCCAAAGGGTTGCAAAAGGGGAGGGAGGCAGGTGCTGGCCAAGTCTCAGCAGGAGGACCAGGCCACACCACACCTTGTTCCCCTTTCCTACCCAAGGCTTCAGCCCGGGGCCAGCCAGAGCTGGGGGAAGGGAGAGGCACAGGCGCCGAAAATAGATTAGAGTTGTGGTTATTACCTTGGACAGGACACTGACCTTGTGGCATACTAAGCTCACTGAAGATGTTCTGTTACCGGATAGTGGTCAGAAAAGTCACAAGGTTGACCCTGGGGTTGATGATGGGGAACAGAGAAGAAGGGGCCCCGCA